CAACTATAAACAATTTTCCGGTTGCATAATTGGAAATGTGTTTCTACTTTCGAATATGCCTTTATTTTTATTTATTTACCGTATTTAAATAAAATTGAGCTTATACATTTAATACAGCTAGCATATTATTTTTTTCAACAAAAGTCAGTGTCATTAAGGCCTCCGTATATGGCTGAAGATAATGATCTCATAGCCTCGGAAAATATTTTGCGGACAGAGAGAGAGAGAAAGAGAGAGAGAGAGAGAGAGAGAGAGAGAGAGAGAAAGAGAGAGAGAGAGAGAGAGAGTGAAGAGCGCAAAAGGGCTTTAATATATAAGGATTAATTTTCTTTTATAAACGGCAAGGTCTCTAATTCTGTTAGTAGCACATTATATTTATAATGTCCCTTTATTCTTAGGCTAAATGAAATACATGAGTTAGGATTTATCACTGATGTTACACGTTGCCAAAAAAAAAATTACAATGCACTCCCCCCCCCCCCCCTCCCCCCAACCCACTTTTAGCGAAACGTAAGCTTACTTGAAAACAGGACGATTGTTTAACGTGGGCTGATCAATTGAAGTGGATGAAGAAAGCAGAACGTTATTGAATTAAAAAGCTAATCCTACTTCAATGAAACTAATCTGTAGCTCTAGCCTTATAATGGCGAGATTAAACAATATTTGATGTCTTCTCAACGAAGACCGGGGGGAGGGGGCGGATTTTGATGGGTGGAGGTTGAGGCGGGTGAGTTGGGTTGGGTAGGGGTTTGCGATAGGGTCGATTATTGAAGTCGGTGGGTGTGGGTGGTGATGGGTAAGGCGGATTGTGGTTGGTGTGTGGGGGCGCTAGAGTTGGTGGGGGTAGGGGCGGGTCAGTTCGTGTGTTTGTGTATGGGTAGTGTGATTGCACGTGAGGTTTAGCTGTAGAGGGTGGGGGGGGGGGGGGGTTTGCTATCTCGTGTAGAGTTGAGTATGACGAGACATAGATGAAAGAAAGATAAACATCTCATAAGAAAATTGTTTAAAGGAATAAAGCTTTTATGACATTTTCAAATCACAAAGAAAACATCTTAAATGAGTAAATGTACTGAAAAGTAAAATAATAAAGTTAGCTTGTCTACAAAACAAAAAGCTATACTTATATTATGATCTTAAAAGCCTGGGCGCTCAATGATGAAAATTGAACAAAGATCTTATACTAAGTCATAGAACGTAAACATATCATGAAACTCCCTATCAAAGGGAATATATTGTCAATAAGTGAGCGCCAATAGCGACAGTTGGACAAACTAGCCTAGGACAGAGATGCCTAGAAAGTTTTTTTGTCAGTTGCCTATGTCTCAGGAGGGGCTACAGACTAACCTAGCCTAACTTCTAGAAGTAACGTATGTGGCAGAAGACGGTCATTCACCAACAGGACATTAGATGAAGACTTGCATATTTATTTTACACTTCGGCACGAAAGGTGGCTATCAAACATCGATTAGTCGCAATACCTACTTGTAATTTTTTTTTTAAAAGGAAAATAAATTGATTAGAGTAATTTTTAATATTTTGTCGAATAGGATGCCTGCAGTCAAATAACTATGTAAAAACAGTACTCATAGTATTTGGTATTATATGATTTTTAGAAACTTTCCGATAACGGAAATCACTGAAAAATAGAAAGTGAACTAAGTAGCCCATATGATCTTTTACTTATATAACATATCGGCTACATATCTGAAACAGTTCTCAAGTTATCATTTTCCCTCGGATATTTAGTTAAGTACCTCTTCCAATTACAAAAAATAATTCACACGTTGTTAGGAAACCGTGCATATAATCTAATACTTGTACGTGGAATTTCGTCTAGCTAGCTTATATGCTAATAAAGTTATTGAAAATTGGGTACATTCCCTTTCCGGTTACTAGAAATTTCTCAAAAAAAAAAGACAGAAAACTATAATTACTTATATATAAATTTCGATTAAAATAACTGAAACGGTACTCACTTTATCGTGTTTACAGACACACACACAAGCATACAGACAGGATTGCTAAACTAATGTTTTTCGTCTCCGGAAGATTGAAAACCGTCAAATTTTGTCAAAATCTCAGATTATTCGCATGATAACAAAATATCCGTTATTTTCCATTTACGATAAAGTTGGGATGGAGGGGAGGAGGTTGTAAAACATCTAAAACTGTCAAGAATTCAATTAATTTTTGTGCATGATTACAATACCTTTTCTATACCATTTTTTTTTTAAATTGAATTTTTCCCTGCGACTTTTTAATGTATGTTTAGCACATAGCCTACTATGTTTTTTCAGACTTCGGCGAGGTGTTGTATGAGACATACGTAAGGCTAACAATTAAGCTCTTACAATTGATTTTAATGAGACTATCGATACTTTCAAAGCTTTTATGCCCATAAAATGTATTCAAGAAAATAATGTTTCTTACCCCTGACCTGTTTCAGTGTAGTCCAACTGTTTACTAAATATAGACATTTTTTTTTAACTGTGTAGGATCGAAGACAGCTTACGAATGATTTACTCGTTTTGTGCAAAGATTAACTTAGATGGGCAATCTTTTTGAACTCACCAGGATCGAAGACTGCCTACGCATTTGTTTGTTTTTTTGTTCAGAGATTAACTTTCACACATGACTGAATGTTAAATCAATATTTACTTTTGACAAGCTTTTACTGAAATTGCTTTCTTGTTATTTTGGCTTTTGTCTTACGGGTCGAAACGGGATAACGAAATTTCGAACACACTAACGGACCGATTTCTTTCTAACTTGTCCCGTGGGTCCAGAATCGACCATAAGGCGATGTGACATCTAATTTGACTTAATTAGATGCTTAATTAATTTTTAAGAATTAATTGAATTTTCTTGTTTAACGTACTAATTTTCCGTGGAATTTTTTTAGTCATGCAATTCTATTGTATAATAAATATAATATATTGTTTTTTAAATAATGAAAAAAACTTAATAACATTAGTTTTATTAACACGCTGTTTTTAGTAATGCACTAAAAAGAAGAACATATTTTTTTTCTTTAACATAAAAATGAGTTATTATTTTAAATAATTAAAAATAAAAGCGTTGGTGACTATATTACGTATTAAACACCTTTACAATTTCGCTAAAGATAACTATTTCCTGTAATTTTAAAAGTATACATTGCCTAATCATACTGCTTAAGATAATAGCTTCCTGTTATTTAAAAAAATAACAATGCCTAATCGTACTGCCTAGCCCACGACGAGATATGTTTCTATTGACACGATGGCTGGCAACACATAAAGACGCCAACATGACACATACATACATATACATGTACTGGTATAATCACACATGCAGTTAGTGACAGTTAACTGGGCAGGATAATACACCCAGCATCGCGAGAACTGGCGTGAGACTCCTTTAAAATGAGTTCATATAATTAGCATAATTACTCCTCTATCTATTTTTTGAGAATGAGAAAGTTATGACAAATGTGTTCATAAAATAAAATACATTTAAAAAACATTCATATTCATGTCGAAAAAAATTATTTAATATAGAATCGCAGTATTGTATCGCAAGCTAATACATTTTCTTTTTCTATTTTAAGCCCCCTGCAATACTGGTTTTTACATTCTGAAAGTAAAATCGTGCACTTCAAATACCGAAATCAACAAACTATCAAAGCATTGAAGTTGTCTTCAAAGAAACAAAGCGATGATATTTATATGTTAACCAAATGTTGCCTGGTAAACAACGCAATTAAAAAACATACAAAGCATTTTGAAACAGTGTTATAGATTTAGTTGTCTTTACACCAGCAAAAACAGTAAGTGCGTACAGCTGTTATTTTTTCTTTTACTTTTTCTTATCTTTTTTTTGTGTGTGCCCAGACTAGACATACAACTACAACTGGTAAACAACCTCAGATGTCAGTTATTTTTATGCACGGATACTTTTTTACTGGGTGGGGGGGGGGGGGGGGGAGTGGGCGGTTTCGGGTCATTTACAAAATTTACAGTATATATATTTTTTATTACGTCCTGGGAGATGGGGGATGGACATGCTCCAGGGGGGGGGGGGGGGGAACAGTTCTCACTGAGAGATGGCTGAATAAAATTATGGCTATGCATCGAACACATATGGGCCCTGAGTTAATAATGAAATTGGTAAACTCTTCATGGGTAGAGTTACACGGACACAGGTACACGGCCAACCACTGTTACAGTTCTATATTAATGCCCCTTCCCTCCACCAAAGTGTAATAGCCTTTCCAAATGTTGTAATGCCTTTAAAATAAACTTGTTGATATATTTTATTAACGCGTTTAGCTGGTGACGTTAATATAACACATTTAAATAATTAGTTGATCTAAATCCTGCTATAGTCCCACATATGTAACTCTTGTAAAAAAAATGGCTTAGCTAAATTTTATTAACAAACATTTGAAAATCAAATTATGTTTCATTGTACAAAGTAATGGTCAGAGTATTGTATTTGTATATGTTTTGTGCAACACTGATTTAGAAAAAAAAATCTATATTGCCGGTTAAACTTTTCGAAATCGAAATGGCGAAAAAAAAAGAAACCACGGCCAGAGGTAAGCTAATATCTTTTAAAATATTAATATTTTAACCTCAAAATACATTACAAACTTGTAGCAGTACCATAATTCTATCGAATAAAACCTTCAGAATAACAAATTTTTATTACTTCGTTATATTACGACTAAAACAAGTGTCCCATATGTTGGACGCTTGTAATGAATGGCGCGGTGTAGATCGTTGCTCCAATGTCCCAGTAATTGGACACTGGCAAGAAACACAGACGTTCATTTTTTATTGATTTTTAATGGTAAGTTGTGGTAAAACAGTTGTAGTTGTTCACTGTTGAATGTAAGGTGTTAAAAAGTATGTATAGAATTATGACGTCGATCTTTGTATTAACTATATACCATTATGTTAAAAAGTTTAATTTACATTTTTTAGAATTTTTTATTTTATTTCTCAAGTGTCTAAAAGACATATTCATAAGTATCAGTTGGTACAGTAACAAAATGGCTTTAATTTAGGGTCTTCGATGCAATCTGCCTGGTTTTTGTAAAGGTTCAGTCTGACTATGTCACCAGACACAGCCGCTTCATTCGTACTGGTCAAAACGACATCACCTTCATAAATGGCGTCGTTGGGTTGGGTCGTCACGGTCACATGATACGTTTTAATGTCAGCGTTGCTAGTCATTTCTACTGGATCGGTGACCTTTTCCAGTTTTAACGTTGTGCAATTTGATTTGATTTTTTCTGGAATAAGTGTGTTCACTCTGTCTACGAGAGCCAGGCCCAGAAAGTGACCCAACGTCTTGCTTAACTTGGCCTCTGTGAAACCCATACAGGCGCAGTACTCCACAGGAATCTGCGCATGCTCACACGTGCGTCCTTCTGGAATTTCTTTGAACAAGCTAAACCTGGGCTGGGTGAGACTTTCTTTCCCGGTCTCTGCTTTAAAGTACAGCAGGTCAATCAAAGTCTCGTAGACGTCCGTGTGGGTCGTCAGACGCTCTTGGTTGGTTTTCACAACTTCCATCAGCTGCGGGTATTTGGTGTGGAACCATGATGGGAACACCAGGAACATGTAAGGTGTCCTCGCCTCTATCATGCCGTTGTATGTGGATCTGGGAAAGACATACTCAGTTATATTTAAGCATAAGCAAGTACTTTAATATTATTGTCTACATTGTAGAAACCTGAAAAAATGTGTAGTACTTTGACTGTATAATTTTATATATTAAACTATATCTCTCTGTTGATTTAGATTAGGTGAGATCAGTTGCATGTGTGCATGTGGATCTAGATAACGTCTGCTGTTAATGATATTAATTCCCTTCAGCTTTAAAAACCAATTTGTGTTGTTTTAGTGAGCATATTGAACAGAAATATGTAGCCTGGTTTGTATCTGTGTTGGGGCTAACGATTTGGTAATTTTTTTCTATCATCATCCGAGGGCGCATTGTCTATGAGTTTATCGGTACGAGAAACATATAAGAAGAGAGAGAGAGAGAGAAATAGAGCGACGGAGAGAGAAAGAGTGTGTGTGAGAAAGAAATAGTTTCAAAAGTTTATCATTTGTTGTATACAAACTCATATAGTTACCGAATAGGTCCAAATCTGGGCCCGTGATCACTGAAAAACACAAGGACGGTGTTGTTTAGAAGGTTTCCGTCCACCAACTTGGACAAGAATCTGTAGTAGAGTTCATCACCTGCACTTGCCATATTGACGTCATCGTGGGTCAAATTTGCAGAGAAGCTATGGACACAAATTTAGTAATAATTAATGGAAAGTGTAGGCTATATACAGTGTCTATCTCCAGGATTATTTTTAAAAAAAAAGAAACTTTAATATTTCAGAAAAAAAGCCGTATTTTCTTTTATAAACAAAGCCATTTTTTAGTGTGAAAAAAGTAAATAAAGACTACTTCAGTCTCTCTATGTAAAAGGAATGTAAGTTTCTAAAGTAATAATTTTTCGAATGATTGTATACGTTTTTAAGCAAAAAAATATGACATTCATCATTCGTTTGAGCAAAGATCTCAATATAAATTAAAGTATATGTTTTATTAAAATTGTAGATTAGCTATATTGATGAATTACCCAGTCAATGTCAACAAAATAGACTGCTACTTTGATTTGAGGACTTTGTCTGATTTCATCATTAATATGTGACAACGAAATAAAAGCGGTTAATGTAGAAGGCTGTTAGCGAAAATGAACTATATATACATAGGGCAGGGGTAAGAGCAATTCTGACAGTTTGCCACGGTGCCGGAATGTGATGCTATGCCAACTGTTGATGACTACCACTTATATTAAATTAGGAAAAAATAACTTCCCCAATAGCTTTCATGCAGGGGGTATTTATCCCAAACGACACTTCACATTTATAGTACACATTTATGCAAAAAGCTGGCTGTAATGTAATGTAAATGTCACCAACCTATATGTAAAGTACGGCTCCGTTTTAGAATTGTTGAACAAAGTCGCAAACTTCACCCAGTAGTCGGTCAGTAGAGTGATGTCTGGAACGTCACCTACACAGCTTCCATTACGCATCATGTCTGACTCAGAGTCAACCACCGCCTCCCGAAAGTAGTAATCCACCGGCTGCTTGACCCAGCCACGTTTCTGGTAGTGGAATGCCGTGACATACGATCGATCTAAAAACATGGCCGTTCTGTAGCCGGCATTGCGGTAAGCGCTCCACAGAAATAAATGATTAATATGGTCGAAAGGCATATCCCAGTTCCAGCTGTTATTTAGCAAATAAAATTCATTTTGTCCTGTTAGAAGTCCAACAACATTAGGGTACGTGTTGTCTCCCATTTTGTTGTGTTTGTGTAGCTCTACAGCGTTCATAGTATCTAGCAGAAAATTTCTTGTCTTTGGCATGGAGCGTATCATGCTGTTTCTAGACATGCCATCAACACCTACCATCATGACGCTTAGAGTCTCTTTTGGGGCGTGTTGGTTAACATGCGCGATGTACTTGATTTTCAATTCAGCCTCTAGCTGTGGTTTTCGTCGAATGAATGTTAAAAAAGACTTTGATATGACGATGTTAAAGGTGTTGTAGCACTTGACGACCACATAATCTTCTCTAACATTAATGAAGTTAGTAAAAAACGGACTGACCTTCACTGTAATTATTTCTATATCATTTTCATGTGCCGGGTCTCGAACCCGAACCTCGTACTGACAGTGTTTGAAGGTTGACCTGAGCCATGGTATTCCTTCTATTTTCGTGTGATTGACAAATATTGTGTCGCCTTCAATATAGACGAGATGTGGTTTCTGGTTAGAACAGTCGATGGTGGGATATTTGTTTGTGATGTTTGTTAGAGCTTTATCAAAGGGCTCAACGACAGGAATACTACAACCAAATTCATTAGCACTTCCAATAAATATAAGAAAATACTTGTTGAATTTTAAATGCAAAACCACTTTTGCGGTTATTAAAATTAAAATAAGTAATAGAAGTATTTGAAAGTGTCTTTGCCTTCTCGTTTTACCTACAAAAATATTTTCTTATTTAAGAATCATTTCAAAACACAAAATTCCTTAAATACTTAAATTTACATAAACTGACGAGACACATAAATATACGGTTAAATTTTAACAATACATTCATACTGGTTATCTTAGTTTAAATAATTAAATTGGTAAATATTTCATAATCTACTTTTATCTTTCTAACGCCGATATAGTACTTACAAACACGCATGCTAATTTTTTTGAACACCGAAATTCCTATCCTAAACATAAGTCTTTTAACAGCGTGATCTAACATTTGATATCAGCTGATTAATTTGAAGAGTTTGCCAAAGTTTAAAGAACTTCTTTCTTATATAAGCGGTCTTCTGATCTGTTCAATAGGTAGAGTTAAAAATTCTTCATTACGTTGATTTTTTCAAGAAATTTATGACTACCTAGACCGGTCTTTTCTATGAAAACCTATTCTAGCCTATAAATATAGCCCTGTGTCGTCAAGTGTTGCGTTCTACCGTTTAAAATAGAAATAAATGTTTAAGTGAATTCTAAAGATTGGCAGAACGGTCAAAGAAGAAAGTTTATAAGTATAATGCATTTTTATGGCTGATTAATTCAATGATTACATAAGCAATTACTTAGAAAAAAAAACTTTTTAAGAAAACATCCACTATCTATTTATACGCATGATTTAACTAAATCATTCAAATAGTAGTAGCGTTGCTAACTTTGAGTAATCGACATTATAATTTTTTTCTTCAAATAGATTTTGACGTGATCAGTATTTGTAGCTTACAAGGTAATAAAACGCGAAAGTGGAATGTCGGTCTTAAGGTGTCTGCTTTATAGCTCTATTCAGTTCAGCGCCATTTAATCGTGTCACTGGTTGAAACAATATCGAATCGGTGCATAATAATAATTGCGTAATTGTGTGGTTTGTTTCTTACTAAGAGGCAGTGAACATTCGAAAAAAAAACACCAATTTATAAAGAACAAGCAAAGTTCCATTGCACTTTAGTTTTCTAATAACACTTTATCTCTATCTCTGTCTCTATCTCAGTCTCTATTTGTACCTGTACCTGTACCTGTACCTGTACCTGTACCTGTACCTGTACCTGTACCTGTACCTGTACCTGTACCTGTACCTGTACCTGTACCTGTACCTGTACCTGTACCTGTACCTGTACCTGTACCTGTACCTGTACCTGTACCTGTACCTGTACCTGTACCTGTACCTGTACCTGTACCTGTACCTGTACCTGTACCTGTACCTGTACCTGTACCTGTACCTGTACCTGTACCTGTACCTGTACCTGTACCTGTACCTGTACCTGTACCTGTACCTGTACCTGTACCTGTACCTGTACCTGTACCTGTACCTGTACCTGTACCTGTACCTGTACCTGTACCTGTACCTGTACCTGTACCTGTACCTGTACCTGTACCTGTACCTGTACCTGTACCTGTACCTGTACCTGTACCTGTACCTGTACCTGTACCTGTACCTGTACCTGTACCTGTACCTGTACCTGTACCTGTACCTGTACCTGTACCTGTACCTGTACCTGTACCTGTACCTGTACCTGTACCTGTACCTGTACCTGTACCTGTACCTGTACCTGTACCTGTACCTGTACCTGTACCTGTGCCTGTGCCTGTGCCTGTGCCTGTGCCTGTGCCTGTGTATGTACCTGTACCTGTACCTGTACCTGTATCTTATTAAGTTCTATATCTTTATCTATTTTCTATATCTTTTGCTATATCTATTTACGTATCTATTTACGTATCGCTGTCGAAACAAAAATAGCGACAGATAATTTTGTATTGATTACCATTCACTAAAGGTGTTTGAATGAACGCCTTGCATCGAATGGCACACGTATTTAGGTACTACGCCATTTCTTTCGACGTGTCACATTGAATTGAATCGAATAATATACAAAAGGTCTAAAAGGTATCTTTTATAACACGGTATTTGAACTCTAAACCCTTTAGACCAGGGGTCTCCAAACTTTTCAGACCGAGGGCCGTTTTGACTATCAAATATCAGTTCGGGGGCCAGAGTTTCTTCAAGGCATATATTCGGTGTTATGGAGTCCCACCCCCCCCCTCCCCGAAAAACGTCCATTACCCCCCCCCCCCATCCAAAACAAAATAAAATTTATATAGAAATATATACAAATTTCAAGTACCTCCCCCCCCCCCCCCCCCCCCCAGAGAAAAAACTTGTAAGAAACACTGTCGGAGGCCGACAACACACTCGAGGTCCATGTTTGCTCTCAAATTATTCTTCACGTATTCTATATCTACGGTTGAGCCCATGTGACCTTATTAAATTCGCCATCTTCACCACAGGATTCAGTGCACTGCTAATGTCCATATATTTCGCACTCAAAGCTTGCATATGAAAAATAGAGTGCAGGAGCATTGGTTTCTTTAACTCATTGAATAATTATATTCTCTATGGTAACAGTGCCATATATATTATGTAGGGAAGCCAGCTCTTGTGTTATGTTCATGCCTTCATCCACACTCCTAATGAACACTAGCAGTTGAGAGGTGGAACAGCTGTCCAGCGACTCATCCATTACAATTAAAAAATAGTGAAACGTGCTTGCATTTTTCGCTATTTGAGTCACAATGTTTTCACCAATGTCTGCAACACGGTGGGCAAAGGTATTTGCTCCCAAAGTTACATTTTCAGATTGTTTTGAATTTTCTGTGCAAAGCTCCTCAGCCACCTCTAACAGACATTTTTTCTGTGGACAAAAAGATCTCCGCGGGCCGGATAAGAGGACCTTGCGGGCCGCATCCGGCCCGAGGGCCGTAGTTTGGAGACCCCTGCTTTAGACGAATATAAATATGCTGTATACGGTCAGGAGTGGGTTTGAGAAGTGTGCGTGTTGTTTGTGAATGGGTGTGAAGTTTGTGGTGATTGGGTGATTGTGTTTAAGTGGGTGTGAGGTGTTTGGAAGTTGGTTTAAAAGTGTGCGTAACAGTCAATGTGAAATTATGTGTGAAATTGATACGAGATGCGTGAGATAATTTTAAGGGATTGTGTATAAATCAACAACCAAAAGGGTTTGTAAGTTTCGGTCTCCATCACTACAAATTCCAAATCTCACTAGTCAGGAAGTGATGTTAATTTTCGAACAAAAGTATTGGTTTAAAGCATGATTCCCACTGATAACAATAAAACATGGCGACTATTTGTTGTCTCGCTTCATCATTAATAATACCAAGAATACCCAAAATGCAAAAATTGTTATAATTTTACTATTAATAGAACAGGCTCAGGCTATTAATAACTTTATATTGATAAAATAACTTCGTTTAGAACCACTTATTACGGGTTCAAATAAATAATAACAAACTGTACGATTATTTAAAAATTACAATATAACTTAGGCTTTTTTCCTTCTTTAAGATAGTCTACATCTTATATTTTGTATTATTTTTTTTAAGATTTAATAAAAGTTTACGTATTTGGTGTGAAAAATATTAGCTGAAAAGTAAGAAAACGAGAAGTTAGTGACCTTCTTACAAGCTCTATTGTGGTGGTCTAACTAAATACGATTTATTACTATCCGATTATTAAATGAGTCTGAAGGTTTAAGTAAACAAACATTAACCCATTATTACCCAACGGTGTTGCTGAACAATAATGATTTTTTCTATTATTAAGCTTTTATCATCCATACACCATCATATGCCAGCTAAAAACATATATATTGGAATCAAACCTCGCTATTTATATGGGACAGTGTGGTCGAATGGTAGAACATACGACCGCTAGCCCGAATGTCTCTAGTTCGAACCCGGGTTCACGTCAGTGGATCGTCAAGCTCTGATGGATAACGGAAAATAAGGCGGCTGCATATAAAGCTTGACTAACCACACAATATTTACATGACGACGTAACAAAAAAAAAGATAAAGATGACTTCACTTACCACATAGAAGAACGTCGGTGTCAGTTGGGGAACTTTATCACAGTGTGATTTGATAATACTGATGACTTGAACAAGAGAGTAGCACGTTTCACAGTCCTTGATATCTACGTACAAATAGTAGATTTTATTTGTTAAGCGTCTGTCATTAAGTTGATTAGTGATCTTTTTAAATTTATCGCTTCAATGAAATCTTACCAAGCTCATAACACATGTTTGCACTTGTAACTGGTTACCCGATTAAGCGTCGTTGTTTATCAAATTTGGTTTGAAATACGAAAAGTTAGACTTACTGTTTAAATCCTCCTAAATATGCAATTAAGAACGCAGAAAAAGAAGAAAACAGTTGCAAATTAAATCAAATTCAGCTCCTTCTACAACATTCATCTTTCAAGATCAAGAAAATTAAAAATATTATATGTTTGATGTTAACGAAAATGTGCATACAGCATAACAGAAAATTATTTAGGAATATGAGCAACATAAACACGAAGAAATCGCTAGAATTTATTTTTTATTAGAAAATAAAATGTAGCTACTTGGATACCTATTCCGAAGTATACCCTTTTAAATATACAAAACATGAAAACATTTACAATTGCGCGCAGTAATTTGTACCAGAGTCTAAAGAATACCCACAGCAAGATCATTTAAGTTTGAAGATTCCATAATCAGTTTTCACTTTAACTTAACATTAGTATTATCAGACTCATAAAAAACAGGTAACCTAATCAGGTTTACTGAACGAATGAAAAGAATTTTTTCCCAAGCTAATGTAGTTTAGACTTGGTTGGCTTGCAGTAACAATATTGTCTTAATTTCTCTTCTTCGATGCAATCTGCCTGGTGTTTGTACATGTTCAGCCTGATTACGTCACCAGTCACCACTGCTTTATTTGACCTAGTCACGCCTACAACACCTTCATAGATGGCGTCGTTGGGTAGGGTAGTCACGGTCACCTGGTACTGTTTTTTCTGAGAGATATTGCTGGATATGTCGATCAGAGTCGTTACCTGATTCAGTTGTAGAGATAAACAATTATTTTTCAATTGTTTAGGAATGTAACGGTTTACTTTTTCCACAAGCGCCAAGCCGAGAAATTGAGCGAAAGCCTTGCTTAACTTGGCCTCTGTGAAGTCCATGCAAGCACAGCATTCCACGGCGATCTGCGCATGCTCACACGTGCGTCCTTCTGGAATCTCTTTGAACAAGCTAAACCTGGGCTGGGTGAGACTTCCTTTCCCGGTCTCTGCTTTAAAGTACAGCAGGTCAATCAAAGTCTCGTAGACGTCCGTGTGGGTCGTCAGACGCTCTTGGTTGGTTTTCACAACTTCCATCAGCTGCGGGTATTTGGTGTGGAACCATGATGGGAACACCAGGAACATGTAAGGTGTCCTCGCCTCTACCATGCCGTTGTACGTAGATCTGTAAAGGCAAAATAACTATTATATTTTTCGAGAAGTAATACAATTAATGAAATACTGTTCTAGAATTATACATCTTATGATATTTAAAAAAAAAAAACTACTGAAAAACAAGTTGTAGATCCTGTTATTTTTCAGTTTAAACAGCTCGTTTAATATATTATTGAATTGTACAAGAGTATATTTGGGGCAAACTTTTCCTGTCGATTTATTGGCAGGTTCGGATGTTTCCCTCTCTTTAGGTTCGCACCGGTGATGTTTCACTGGATTCGTCGCTCCACACGTTACAAACAGGTATGCCTCTACACAATGGTGTACGCAGTGCACGTTTTAACGTTATTATATAGTTTCGCTGTTTTAAAAATCGTATTGGTTTTTCCCTCATGGTTAGTTTACAAATAAATTTTGAGCAGATCTAATATGGCTATACATAATCAAATTGTATCACGTTTTAATAATACATCACATGGTTATTAAATTATTTAAATGTGAGTAATTATCTCAAGCTGCCTTTAGACCCATCCCCCACACGGTGCGTAGAGTACAATGTTAAATCTCAGATTTACAATTGTATATTTATCTGATCATACTGGATATTTAAAGGACTATAAATTACCGTATCGCTCCAAATCTGGGCCCGTGATCACTGAAAAACACAAGGACGGTGTTGTTTAGAAGGTTTCCGTCCACCAACTTTGTCAAGAATCTGTAGTAGAGTTCATCACCTGCACTGGCCATATCGACGTCATCGTGGGTCAAATGAGCAGAAAAACTACAGAGAAAATGGTCTTTATTTCTTTTAATTGCAAATGAGTTTTGAAAAATTAAATTAAAAATGTAAATGCAATATTATTAAGAATTGTTTTGAAAAAAAAAAATTTATTTTAAAAGATGAAAATAATACAAATACGTATTACACGATAGTTGTTAAATTATCATATTCGCCTCAAAACATTATTTAAAGAATTTAGAAATGTGATGAATGCAACATTTACTTATTAGTTTCATAATGTAATTCATTAATTTTGATGAATGCTGGTGTACCTGTATGTAAAGTACGGCTCTGTTTTAGAATTATTGAACAAAGTCGCAAACTTCACCCAGTAGTCAGTCAGTAGAGTGATGTCTGGGACGTCACCTATACAGAAACCACTTCGCATCATGTCGTTATCAAAATCAACCACCGCCTCCCGGAAGTAGTAATCCACCGGCTGCTTGACCCAACCCCGTTTCTTGTTGTGGAATGACGTTATACGTGACCGATCAACAAACATGGCCGTTCTGTAGCCGGCATTTCGGTAGGTGCTCCAGAGAAAAAAGTCGTTGATTTTGTCAAAAGACTGACTGCGAGTCCAGTTAACCCTGAGCATGGACCCTTCACTGTTCCCTGTGAGAAGTCCAAACACATTCGGCAGGGTGTTGTCAGCGTACTTGTTGTGCTTGTGTAGCTCTACGGCTTTCATGGTCTCTAGAAGAATACGTCTTGTTTTCGGCATGGAGCGTATCATGCTGTTTCTCGACATGCCATCAACACCTACCATCATGACGCTTAGAGTCTCTTTTGGGGCGTGTTGGTTTACATGCGCGGTATACTTGATCTTTAATTCGGCCTCTAGCTCTGGTTTTCGTCGTATGAATGTTAAGTAAGACTTTGATATGACGATGTTGGAGGTGTTGTAGCACTTGACGAGAACATATTCCGCCGTGACGCGAACAGAGTCTTTAAAACACGGACCTTTCTGAAAAGTTATTGTCTTTTGATCCTCATTTTGATTTGGGTCTCGAACCCGAATTTCGTAGCAACAGTGTTTGAAAGTGGATTTCAGCCACGGCAATTCTTTTATTTTGGTGTGGTTTATAAAAGCTGTATCGCCTTTAGTATAGACAAGATGGGGTTTCTTTTTAGAGCAGTCAATGGTAGGGAATTTTCTGGTGATGTTTTCTATTGCTTTATCAAAAGGGTCAACGGCAGGAAAGCTGCAACCTGAAGTTTTACGGTCGGCCTCAGGGACATCTTTTGATTCACGATAGTTTATACGAAAATTGTGCACAAGATTTGAGTACAACAAATAAACATACACAAGAGTTGTCGAAAAAATCCAAAATATCAGAACCAGAAAAGCACGCATTTTTCTTGATTCACCTGTAATTACAATTTTTAATATTAAAATGTGTTTTTTTTAAATACTAAAACTAAAAGTTGTTAAAAAAACACGTTTATCTGAAACTAATTTTTAAAAGCGTTGATGATAATGTGGTAATTCTTCACAGTGTTTGCAATAAAAGTTTAAAGCATATACTTACGCATAATTGTCATGTCAATGTCCAGGCGGTTAGAACTGCTTGTGCCTGTTCAGTAAACAAGTGGGTGGCGTGACGTCTGGACTATATATAAAAAAAACGTCCACCTGTTGCACTGGGGCAAAGGGTTATAATCCATGTGTGGGTTTTTATACACTCTGTCTTAGGCTGGCTGTTGTTGTTTGTTTGTTTAAAAATGTTTTTTTTTTTTTTTGCATTTAAGTGTAGGCGTTGAGCGATTCGGTTGTTATTGTGGTGTGTTGTGGGGTGTGTTAAGTGATTTTATAGGATGTATGTAGTTTTCAGGTTTATTGTGTTGTATATGTTGTAAGGTACCAGGTTTGTGTGGTGTTGTTTGGTGGGCGTGATGAGGTGAGAAATTAGGTGAGTGTTGGCGTGGGGCTAGATCTACTCCGTGTATGTGTGTGGTGTTGTGAAAATGTCTTGTCGGGTTGTATGGGCAGTGGTGTGTATGGAATGAACAACTGGTGGGGGGATTTAATGTCGTGTTGGTTGCCGTGTGTAGTATAATGTGGATGATTGAGTGAGTGAATTTCTGAGCGCATATAGGCGTGTGTGAGGTGGATGTGGCGTTTGATTCGAAACGTGGCTTACGGTACTTTCGTAGTGTGGTACTTTGTGGTGTAAAGCAAGCATGGTACGGTTATTGGTCTACTCCGTATGTGTGTTGCGTTTGGGTGGGATGGGGTGGGTCTGGTGTATGGGGAATCGTGTGTATGGTGTTTGATGAATGATTGGTTTCTATTGTGGGGTTAGTGGCGTGAGGTTCGCGTAGGGCTATGTGAGGTGGTGGAAAATGTGGTGTTGAGTATGGGTTTATGAGGGTTTACGTTGTGCGGTATAGTGTTTTTGGCGAGGCGTGGTTCATGGTGTGTAGCTGTTGTAGTGACTTGTAATATTTATTTTTCTGTTTATTTTTTTCCAAGTATTTCTTTTGAACACCAACAATTGTACAAAACATCCATTGGCGCCTGTTTTTTTATTTTTTTTATTTTCGAAAAAGTAAAAGTAAACTACCATTTCGATAATTACGTTCCATAGAGTAGCTGAAGTAGATCCCACATGTTTTGTGACCTCGGCACACGAAAGGATCGTAAAGTCAGCACTATGCCCTGCAGCTTTTACATTCTCTAACGAGTTATGAATGCATAATCCCTTACCTTGGTTAGCCCGGGATCCGAACTCTAAATTTTCGGGTTAGCAGTCTACGATAAGACCACGCCAAGCTCTATTGTGTTTACAACTTTGTATTTTAATTTTTTTAACTTTTTATATTTGCCCAAACTAGAGATCAGAAAAATCTGCAGCATGTGTAGAATGTCAAAATACAGATGTATGTTGAAAATGTATTAGGTTTAAAGTTTAAACTGAGAGTATAGAAAAATTATTTAAAGACGTTAAATATTAAATATTATATTTTTGAAACACCTTTACTTATACAAAATGACTAAACTTTTCAATTTGTTTCCTTAAAAAAATAAAATAACCGTCGAGATATATTAATGTTAATTTTTTAATTCAATTTTTAAAATGATAAAGTTGCTTATCGGAACTTGGCGGGATACAGAGCAGGTGAAGTAGAGTTTACCTGTTTCTGTGTTCTCAGCGTATGAAGGGATAGTGTGGTCAGAGACATGCTCGGCCGGAATCTTTTTTTAAACGATAAAAACATGATTTCTGAGACTTGGCGGGACACTGGGCAGGTGAAGTAGAGTTGGGTAGGTGTATAGTTCACAGGTGACGTCAGCATGTGAAGAGATAGTTTGGTCAGACCCATGCTAAGCCGAAATCTGTGTTTTCAAAGACAAAAACATGTTTGAGTTAGGGGGACACTAGGCAGGTGAAGTAGAGTTGACCTGTTTTTGTGACCTCAGCATATGAAGAGATTGTGTTGTCAGACCCATGCTCAGCCAAAAACGGTATTTAAAAAAAAACTGAAGCGTCTGAGGTGTGACGTCTTTTTAAATGTGGTGTCTGTTTTTTTGTGACGATAAGTGACAGACGTGATGTTTTCTATGGATGACCCCTACACCGACAGTTATCCAAGGGATGACGGGTAGTCTAGTGAGACCTAATCATGGAGGAAATGATGTCGCCTACAACTATTTCAAAAATTGAAAACAATTTGAAATTTCAATGACTTCAGCCAGAAAGTGCGCACTAAAATGTCCAGGTTTATAATGCACCTGTGTGTCAAGAATGAATTCGATCCATTCAACGTTTGGAATTCTGTACAAAACAAAGGGTTTACTTTTTAATATTTTAAATCTATGTTATGATTTTTTGTCTTGCTTATACCTACTTCTTTTCATATTTAAATTTTTACAATGTTATTTATTCTGTTTTCGCTTCATTATGTTATTCTTAATTGCCGTTTGGTTCTTGTATATACACTTTTGATATTAGACAAATAAATGTTGGTGTCCTTATTATTCATTAATAAATGAAGTCATTATTATAGTCTATCCTTTTCGACATTTGTTTATCATTTCTATTTTTATCTACAATAGATGACGTTATTCCTGTTTGTGTACTTTTGTGAGATTCTACTTTAAAAGTTTCGTTTCTTCTGACTTGATTTAATCTCCCTTCATTTGAAGGTCTTTAATTTTTTAGTTTTTTATTTTGCATGTCTTTCACAAACATACATTTTACTTGCATAAATACAGAGACACAGAGTCTATTTTATCTTCATAGAGTACATTAGTGAGTTATTTACCAGACAGGTTATTACAGATTTGAATGATTGTACTCTTAAACCTTTGGTAACACGATTTACATATGAGTCAGTATTATATATCCCGATGTCACAAATCGCTAAGGGTTCGAACCCTCGGGCAGATGAGGCTCGTTAGCTGGAGACAGCCACTCTTCTAGGATAGACAACTCCAAAATTAAACAACTGCTGCCTTGTAGTTTGTTCTTGGTTGGACAAAGGCTATGGAAGCAAAATCCAAAAAGAAAAGCAGGCTGAAATCGGAGTCAATGGCCTCAATGGCGCATAACCAGTTGGCACGTAACGCTTAATTGTGTTGAAGGCGTGGTCGAGTCGGCAAAAAGCTCATGGTTGATAAATTCGAACAAAGTCTCGAGTTCAAACCCACTGGCAGATAAATCTAGATCCCCTTCAACACTAATAATTAAGAACGAAGAATAAGAAGAAGACAAATCGCTAAAAAAAAGATACAACTCAACCTCCACCCCCCCCCACCCCCGCCCCCAATTTAGAGAGGAATACGCTAACGACAATTGACGGTGATAGTTTTTAACGTGGGTTGATCAATGACTTGATTTATTCTCCCGTCATTCGAAGGTCTTTAATTTTTTTTTATTTTGCATGTCTTCCATAAACATACATTTTACATGCATAAATACAGAGATACGGAGTCCATTTTATCTTTATAGAGTAGATAAGTGAGTTTTTTACCAGACATGTAAATGCAGATTTAATTGACTATACTCTTCAATCTTCGGTAACATGATTTACATATGAGTCAGTATTATATCTGTTGTCACAAATCGCTAAAAACAAAAAAAAAAACAAAAAAAAAATGAACAACTCAACCACCACCCAATTCATCGAGGCGTACGCTAACGAGAATCGACGTTGATAGTTTTTAACGTGGGTTGATCAATGGAAATTGATGATAAAACATGAAAGTATTAACTTTGAAAGCTAATCCTACGTCAGCGAATGTAATCCGTAAAAGGGTGGGTATTGACAACAGCTGATGTCTTTAGATTGAAGACCGTGTGTTGATGAGGAGGGCTGGAGTTGGGAGTGGGTGAGTGGGGGTGGGGGGGGGGGGGTCTAGCGTGGATGGGCTGTGGAGTAGGGTGGGGGTTGGTGAGTGTATAATGGTAGGTGGGGTGGGACGGTGATGGGTGAGGCTGATTGACGTGGGTAGGGTGGGTTATGAATTGCGAGTGTGTGAGTGTGTGTGAGTGTGTGTGTGTGTGTAGTGAGGACACGAGTTTGGTTGAGCCATGGATAGTAGGGGGGGGCTATGTTGGGTAGGGTTAGGTATTTTGAAGCGTAGATGTAAAATCATGCTGTTTCAAGATATCTAGATTGTTATTACAAGCTTGCAAATGGAAAAATGTTTGCCACAATTTTTTAAACATATCTCTTAATAGAATTGAAGATGCGATTCTTTACGATTCGAGAAACGGGTTTAATATAGATCATATATTAAGATTGATTACGAGTATTGAAATGGATTTAACATAGATCATATATTGGGATTGATAACGAATAGGGAAAGGGATTGAACATGTATGATACATTGGAATTATCATGAGTAACTCTTGCGATATTGAAGCCAGATGACTCCTTTACGTCCACAACTGTGTGTTGTGTTATCAGTGGCGTTACATACAATATTATATTTTGTTTGATTTGGACAAAAAAAAATTTATTCTTGAATATTGTTTAGCTTATAGAGAATTTCTCTGTTCAAAATATATACAAATAGAAGACGGTTATTGTTCAAAGTTTACTATCTAATATAAACGAAGTTCTAAATAAAGTATAACATTAAACTGTATTTTCACAGAGCTGCATTGAAGTTTAATATTAAACTAGATAACAAATAACATTACAATTTGTGAAGAATTATAATCACATATGGAGTCGGCGTGGTCGGGCAGATGAGCGTTACATTTCTTGCTTTAGCAGTCCACAGTTTTAATTATGGACAGAAGAGTTTCTTAGCTGGGACCAGCAACCCATCTAGGCGTGAAAACTCCTAAAGCAAACAACTGCTGCCTTTTCATTTGTTCTTGGCTGGACAAAAGCTATGGAAATACACACAGAAAGAAAGAATGCTTAAATCTGAGTCTTCATGCAAAAAGGTTGACTCGTGATGCTTAATTGTGTTGCACAAATTTCCGCCCAACATTACTTTTAAGAACAAAGAAGAAAGAGAAAATAATCATTTAGAAATATATTTATTGAATTTTTTTATCTTGATAAAAATTTTAATTTCGGTTAGTAGCTACCTATTCTCTCATACTTTCAATGGAGTTTAATGTTCACGGTATACATAACATGGTCATTTACTTGGATTGAATTGAATTTTAAAAAAAAATTTAAACTAGGGTTGGACTACAAAAATAAAAATAGTTCAAACTTGGGTTGGATTACACAAACAAAAAGACCGTAAATTCGGGTCTTCAATACAATCAGCCGTGTTGTTGTAAAAGTTGAGTCTGACTACGTCACCAGACACGACCGCTTTATTGGTACTGGTCAAAGCCACAACACCTTCATAGATAGCGTCGTTTGGTTGGGTCGTTACGGTCACCTGGTACCGCTGGGGCTGCGACGTGTTCGAGGCTATTTCCACTAGGTTTGTAACCTGGTCAAGTTGCAGATGTCTACAAAACTTTCTTAAATCTCTCGGTATGTAGTTGTTTACTTTGTCTACGAGAGCAAGACCCAGATAGAGACCCAACGTCTGGCTTAACTTGGCCTCTGTGAAACCCATACAGGCGCAGTACTCCACAGGAATCTGCGCGTGCTCACACGTGCGTCCTTCTGGAATCTCTTTGAACAAGCTAAACCTGGGCTGGGTGAGACTTCCTTTCCCGGTCTCTGCTTTAAAGTACAGCAGGTCAATCAAAGTCTCGTAGACGTCCGTGTGGGTCGTCAGACGCTCTTGGTTGGTTTTCACAACTTCCATCAGCTGCGGGTATTTGGTACGGAACCATGCTGGGAACGCAAGGATCATAAACGGCGTTCTTTCTTCTACCATACCGTTGAAAGTTGACCTAGAAAAATTATTCAACAGTATTAATTTTAGACTTTTTTTTACTGTCATGTATTTCTTTTGCATTTTGGAAATCATGTAGATTTCTTAACAATTACTATATTTCTTTTTTAAGAGTTTTTTAGAACATTATGATTTTATAATCACTTAAATATATATTTATTCTGTAATTAGTAAGATAGTTTGTATAATCACAGGCACTCTTTAAAGCATAAGTGCGGTTAAAATGAGTAATGAAACAAATGTATTATTATGAAAAATTCAATTGAAAATATAGATCTAGTCCAAGACCTATATCAAAATTCATAAAGTGCAATTGCAACATTACGATTAAAATAATTCAATATTATTTCCAGGAACGGCAATAGGACGTTTAAAATGTATACAAAGTACCGTATTGCTCCAAATCTGGGCCCGTGGTCACTGAAAAACACGAGGACGGTGTTGTTTAGAAGGTTTCCGTCCACCAACTTCGTCAAGAATCTGTAGTAGAGTTCATCACCTGCACTGGCTAAGTGGCTGTTGTCGTGAGTCAGGTAAGCTGAGAAACTAAAAACAATATAACACAATATTATTTTTGTACATTTATGGTTAAATAGTGATGTCTTTTCTACAAAATGTAGAAATGATTTAATCGTGGTAGAATTAAGTCCATGATTCATCTAATCTGCATTGTTAAAGTTCCACTACATGTGTTTCCTTGTAATGTTGATAACGCTGGATCATATCATCATCATATTTTCCCTTATCTAACCAAGATATATGGGGCTGATAAAGTAGAGTACATATGCTTAAGATACGCCTTATGAACGTGTAGTGTGGTGAGTACTATGCCTTGCAGCCTTTGCTTTCCGTAACGTGACTAAGGTACCCATCAGAGCTGGATGGTCTCAGTGACGGTCTATTGACTTAAACCTGGATTCGAACGAGCATGAGACCTACCGCTAAGCCATGCCGTCCCATGTTAGTCTCTTAGTAAATAAAAACTTTGTGTTGTCATTACCTAATATCCCATAGCCACGTTATTCTTCTATTAAAAACATCGAAGCTATCAATATTGCATTGCAATAATGTTTTTCAATAGTGTAAAGCAAGCAATAATATTATTAAATAATATCTCATCAAACACATACATAACAGCAGATCTGTTTATTTAGCGTGGTAAGTTTTATACACATTTTGATATGCAAGAGATTTTAAACTGTTTGATTTCCTTATTTTAGTTATTTGATGAAAACTTAAGCCTATTGCTTTGGTTTTGATAATGTACACAATTTAAAAAAATAAATAACTCACCCACCTAAATGTAAAGTACGGCTCTGATTTAGAGTTATTAAACAAAGTCGCCAGCTCTACCAAGTAGTCGGTTGAGAGAGTGATAACTGGGACGTCACCAATACAGCTTCCACTGCGCATCATGTCTGACTCCGAGTCAACCACCGCCTCCCGGAAGTAGTAATCCACCGGCGGTTTGTTCCAGCCGCGTTTCTGGTAGTGGAATGCCGTGATATACGACATATCCACAAACATTCCCGTTCTGTAGCCGGCATTGCGGTAAGCACTCCACAGAAATAAATCATTGATATTGTCAAATGACATTTTCCATGTCCAGTTCAAATTGGCCAATGCAAGTTCGTTGTTGCCTGTGAGAAGTCCAACTAAATTAGGATAAGTGTTCTTTTCGTACTTGTTGTGCTTGTGTAGCTCTACCGCTTTCATGGTATCTAGTAGAAAATTTCTTGTCTTTGGCATGGAGCGTATCATGCTGTTTCTCGACATGCCATCTACACCTACCATCATGACGCTTAGAGTCTCTTTTGGGGCGTGTTGGTTAACGTGTGTTGCATATTTCACTTTCAACTCAGCTTCCAGCTTGGGTTTTCGTCGTATAAATGTTAAAAAAGATTTAGACACGATAATGTCTGATATATTGTAGCATTTAACCACAACATAATCGTCAGTAACATTGACTGAATCGTTAAAAAACGGACCTTCCTTAACTGTTATTATTCTCCTGTCATTTTGAGAGGCTGGATCCCGAACCCGAGCTTCATATTTACAATGTTTAAATGTTGTATTCAGCCAAGGTATTTCTTGTATTTTCGTGTGGTTGATGAAGATGGTATCGCCTTTTGTATACACAATATGAGGTCTATTTTTTGAGCAGTTGATAGTAGGGAATGTTTGAAACATTGTTTCTATTGCTTTGTCGAACGGGTCAATAACAGGAAAGTTACAGCCTACATTGATTTGGCTGACATTCGTGAGATTAGTCATATGAATACTGATATGAAACTTCTGAACAAAGTGAGGGTTGATAAGAAAAGCAAACCCAAACATGGTTACACTAATCCAAAACGCAAGCAGTAGAAATATTTTGATACATGTTTGGCGTCTGTTAAAGCCTGGCAAAAAATGATAAGTTTTAAGCAACGTTTGAGAACTCAACATCTGACAACAACGCAACATTTACGCTGTATTTAAATAATAAACTATAATTTAAATTATTATTTACTTACACATGTTTTTAATGCAGCCGTGAAGACTACGGCCCCACAACATCCTAGAGGTCTCCTGTGCTATCCCTTTGTAAATCAGACAATCCACCTGCGTTTAAATTCTGACGATCGAACAACCGTCTGCCCACACGCCGTTTTAATTCGGGATTAGCTTGTTTTACTAATCTGTCAACGTTATTGCTAAGCTGAATTCAATAATTCAATAACCAGAGGCGTAGAAAGCTTTGAAACAGATTTCTTCATGCATATTCTCATGTAACTTTTCAACATTTTAGCTTAACATCGCCACTGATAAATGATGATTATGAAGTAACACACAATCAATACTCAGCTGAAGCTCAAAACACACTAGCACTATCTTTCAGTGTGTTTTTCTCCTTTAGTAAATCCTCTGGCGTTCTATTGTCCGTTCTGTTGACATCCCATAACAAATGCCGCATCTCTTGTTCCTCTCATACACATCTATATATATAATTCTCTTCTTGGATACCCTAGAAAACACCAAGCTGTAAGCGCGCCTAGCAGCCCCCCTCTCTTCCTCTATAGGCATATCCCTACCACCCCCACCCCCACATGGTCTGGTGAGCTGTGGTTCACGCTAAATGTTTACAATCGTAGAGCCGGGTTTAGTGACGGCTTTTATGAGCAGATAATTTAGTTTAAAACGATTTTAAACTAAGAGAAAGCTGCTTTCACGGGGGGGGGGGGGGGGGTATGGTAGGGGTTGGGGGAAAGAAGGGTAGGGGGGGGGGGCGTTATCGTCCTTAACGACCTACTGATAGTGTTTTAAAGCAAATATTTTCAGTGACAGCATTAGTACTGTCGAATTCACAAATTATGAATTACTGAAAAGTAAAAAATAAAACAATTAAATAGCGGCATATGATACGCCGCTGGTCGGCTCGTATACAATAAAAGAAATAAAACAACTTTCATAAAAAAAACTAGCTTTTAAATACACTACAAATAAGAAAATAATGTGCATTCTTTCATAAAAGCTTTTCTTTGCTCATTTTGTTTTTACATATTTTATAATTGTTATAAAGATTTTTTTTAAATATTTGTTTTATTTTCTACTTTCTATTGAATCAAAATTTATTAAGTCGCCACGACTAAAAATATTTGCTTCAAAGTAGCTTTGAAAGTACCGTCCCTGTCAATATTTTACCGACGATAACAAGTTCTACATCTTGTTACCTCCCCTTAGTTTCAAATCATTTAAAAACTTTATTATCTGCCCCTAACGGCCTTCACTAGATCGACCGGCTCTACGTTTGCAAACGTTCTCGTGAACCACAGCTAATAAGACTGTTAGTGTGTACGAGTCCATCTAGTTATCACCCTTTCTCTTATTGAACATAGTAATCTATCGAGTCCTTTAATTGTGTTTTCTCCCCTAAGTTTCGAAACCGTTTAATTAAGTTTTAATTTTTAATGACTGATTAAACTTCTAATTAAATTAGAAAATAGATAGATTTTTATTGTCATTGAAGTAGAACGTATCTGGAAAGTTTAAAAGAAACCACTGCTTTAAAATTGGGTCGAAATTTAGTTACAAGAATTGCCACAAATTCAAAAACAAACAAACAAATAGACGTTGTGAACTAAATACAAGCTTGTAAAATGAAAACATTTTGAACAGACTTTTAAATGATTCCGTCTCCTCGCCTTGATTTTCTAATACCGGAGCCACTGATTCGAACTCAAGACTTCCGCGATAGCAGTCCTCAACTCTAAAACCCAACCACAACACTTCATTCGCTAAACCAAACATAGTTTTCATATATCTTATCTTTCATTTGTTTTACATACGTAATCCACAAATACAATTACGAATCCGTTTACAAACTTTTATCATGTAATTCAAAACCAATTTTAAATATGTAAACCACATTTAACTTTAAATATCTAATAACCAAATTCTACACATCCCCAAATGCACAAAATCTTTCAAATATTTGATCCGTCCTGTTTAACATTGATTTAAATTTCTCTAAAAATATGTCTTTATAAAATCCCACGTGTCCAACGTATGCTATTTAATACATACTTTAAGTTTTTCAACTTTCTATTGTCTAAAGCTAAGATCAAGAAAAATCCCAGCTTTTTGTTCTTTCTGTGTAGTTATATTTACAAATAGCTTGCTTACTTGTTTTCTAACGGTTTCTAAACACCAAAGCTATCAATCATAATCTGTCATCTCAAGCGTTTAAAGACCAGAGAAAATATTTTATTTCAACTCTGTAATTACTATCGAACTGTATGTGTGTAGTAAGAATTGAGCTACACATCAATGTGCATATCTTCGTGTTATGTTAAACGTTGCCATTATGTAGTAACAGAACCTTCGATTCCATACTAATAAATCACTACCTGTACTGATGGCTTTGTGTCCAATTTGAGAAAGGCGACCTGTCTTAGCACTGGCCACTTTTTTTTTTCTTTAGATAGTTGGTAAATGAAACACAAAATACACTTCATCTGACATATGAACTGCCAATTTTTATTCCTTCAATTAAATTTAGCGGTTGAAATCTTATGGTAGAGCTTACCATTGACGATCCGAAAGCCTTAAATTTGGATCTAGCCTAAAGTATTTCAAACAGATAAACTCTGCTTCGTCTGCCTCGTGTGTCTTTTCATGAACGAGAAGATTAATGATGAAGTGTCGTACTTAGGGTATTGTCTGCTTGACGCGGCCACTTCGTTTACGCCCCATCCTACGGTCTCAACTCGTCTTCACCAGTGCCAGCATACGCAGAGACGCCCTGATGTAAATTCAAATAGCTTTTGATTTGTTTCTGTAAAAATTCATTTAGAAAATGTTGATAGCTAGCACCTCTTTACAATCAGATTGTCTAGTCTGATATCTAGATCTTTGTTTGAAAACAAGTTGTAAGTCTGTATAGCTTATATATAATACCAGCTGGATATATTCATCATATCGATTCAACTTTTACTTTCTCGTATACAGAGTATAGAGGAAGTATTGTAATCGTGCACAAAAATCATATGAAGTTTTGACAGTTTCATCGTTTTACACCTCCGTACTTATTTTAATCGGGCAAAAAATATTAAATGCAAATTTATCAAAATGTCAACGTTATATGCGTAATTGAGTCGGAAAACTGGGTGTTGCAATTTTGTCCGTGTGTGTGTGTGTGCGTGCGCGCGCGTGTGTGTGTGTGTTTGTGTGTGTGTGTGTGCCTGCCTGTAAACACGAAAACTTGAGTACCGTTACAACTAGGTTGATGAAATTTCATAAACACGTATATACATGTAGTAGTTATGTATCAACAATTTTTCAGCGATTTCCGGTAACCGGAATGGAACTTATTCTACTTTGGATTTTTCAAAAGGGTATAACTATTTCATATAGATAGACAAAATTTCACAACTAAGTAAAATATCTAATTCTCTGACTTCTGTCAAATTTCGAGTAATTTCCGTTGACCGAAAGTAGTAATTTACGCTATTTCCGAATTTTTTTAAAAACCGCATGTGAATTCATAAAGTACAAATAATATTCAGCACTATTATATACATTTTGTTTTGCGTTTACTTGGTGCGCAATTCTTTTTTACGAGATTCTATTTTATTTTTAAAAGTTTAGGTAATTAAAAATGGATTAAAAATCATGTCTATATCCCGAGTTCCCATCCCCTGTAGTGTTAAATAAGAATATTCGAGAAAGTTTCGGGTAGTAAACAAGTAAAGTGGGATAAATGTGTAAATGTGTTTGTACGGATAACTGTAGCAGGTTTTACATACCACACCTATCTTTATCACTCATTTCAATGCATGTTTCTACCCATCCCTTACTTGTTGTTTATTTCAATTTATTAATAACGCTACCTCAGCCGATAGCAAACCTGTAATAAACTAAAGGGAAGTAATATATATATTTTTTCTCGTAATAAAACTACATCTTTAATCAATAATCAAACTAGAATCAAACGAAAGTTAAAATGTTTCTATAATTGTTATCCAAATAAAATTATAATTTAAAATGGATAATTAATTTATACTAATTTTTTACAGTTTTTATTTTAAGTTTAGGCTTTTTTTTTTTTAATTTTCAAATAAATCAATTATCTGATACGTTTTAACAACTTAATTTTCTATTTTTCTCTTGTAATTTGTGTTTTAGTATCCAATATTTAATAATATATTACAATTCTCCTATTAGAAAGTGGATTTTCTTTACACAATGTCATCCATGTATATGAATTTTTGTAAAACAACAAAGCTTTGTTATTGTTTACTGATGTTAACGCTTTACGTCCATTTATACAAAGGTTGGTTACAGGTTGTCCATACATGACACAGCACTTTACCCCGCTGTCGCCATACGTGGCAAGAAAGAAAAAAAACAAGGGACATATGAAATCACTAAACAAGACGTCAGCTAACAATAAGGATGGTTTTAAACGCAGGCTGAATTTTTTGAATTCAAAACCTGATTGTAGATAAGTAGACGCGCGGTGGGGAAGCAGCATCGAAGAGATATACCACAGAACGTTCATTTCTCTCTCCAAAGCCTTCGAGCCCATAATTACTCGTGACTTTTGGGTTAGTAAACATACGATCGCACGCCAAACCACGCCATAACAAGTACTTTTACCATTGTTGTTCTTTTTTTTTTTAATTTTAAAGTGTAACTTAGTTTGTTGAGCCATTTTTACGACTTGAATTTAAAGATTTGGTTTGCACACACGCAATAAACAAAGAACTAAAAATGAAGAATAAACATACTAAGAGTTATCGTCGCGTAAATATATAAATTAGATTGATCTGTGATTTCAACTTCAACGGCACTTT